GATTCACCATTACACCGTAAGACACACTGATAATGACATTTCCTCAAATGCAAATCACAAATTTTTCCAAATTTCATGCATGATTTTTTTTTTCTTGACCTGAACATCTCCCTTATAGATTAGGCCTATATTCTCATTGAAGTATGATGTTTGAAATGTTGGTTTGTGTCTAGGCTGGGACTCAGTCGGCTCCCATCAGTGTTCAGAGGGAGTTACAGTCTGCAGCTCACACGCTGTACCAGCAACTGGTGCGTGTGTTCAGACAGAAAGTGGCACTAGAGAGAGAACAGGCTGGTGGGTAACGCTTCTTACTCGAGCATGTAGCATTGGTCTAAATGCACAAAAAAAGTATTAATTTTTTTTATAAATGTTTATTTTTTTGGCCATTTTTAGTTTTTTATAAATACTTAATTTTTTTAATACTTTTTATATTAATTATGTAAATGCACATAATACAAATAATGAAAATAGTACTGATATTTACATTTAAACTGAATATTTTATAACTGAAATGTTTTACTAATATAATTTGACTTTATTATTTTATTTTTTATTAATAATGAGCAGCTAATATAAAACAGGGTAAATAATAAGTAAATTTAAATGAACCATTTTGTACTTTACAGTGCATTTTAATGTTAATAAAATTATAGACTTTATACAATGCCTACTGTACTATGCGCATGCACTTTTCATATCTTAGTTGGATAAACAAGGGGAAATAGTATTATTAGTGATGTTTATTTTATCTTTTAATTAAATTTTATTTTTATTTGACCATTTAAAACAGATTTTTTTTCTGTAATATTATCATTACCCACTAATTTAAATAGACATTAATTTGTGATATTGCTTTGTGGTTAAAATTTTGACTCTATTTTATAGTTTGGCATAGTCCAAGTACTCTAATAATATGCCAGTTTAAGTAAGTAGTGATTTACCATAGATTTGTCTCATTTCAGGCTCTTATCAGCACCTGCTGTTAGCTACAGTCTTCACTCTGAACTTCCACTATCAGCCGGTGGATCTCGTGGTGATTATTAAATGTGGCGTCCTGGAGATCTTGTCCACACTGACTGATAACGCCTGTGTGCTGGTGAACCAGCGCTGGCTGGCCGCCTCCATGTCCGGTCACATGCAGCTCGGTGGGGCGGTGAAGGTGGCCACTGCCAGACTCCTGCAGATACTCGCCATAGCGGCCAGGTGAGATTATAAACTTGATAATTAGATACAGAACGAGAAAACGCCTCCCAAGATATGCTCTTAAAACCTCACATTTTGAAAACTGATGCCTTAGATAATCGTGCTCAAAGCATTCTTCTTGCTACTGTAAGGTCCGCGCACATGGCCCAAGGAAGGTATCCAGTGGCGGATGAAGGTCTCTTGCGTGTTCGGTCTTTTCAGCGCGCAGAGTTATTCAATTTAGGTTTAACTCAATCTGACTCCATTTTATTATTTCATCTGACTCCATTTTAGTATGACCTCAAATTTTGGTTGAAAGGCAAATTGGTTGTTTGTCGGTCTCTAATTATTCTTACATTTGATTATTCTAGTTAACTCTTTACTTTGTATTTTACTCGTTCATTAGGAATCTACGTCGCACAAACTCGCCAGTTTGACCTTATTCAGAGGTTCGTGGCTAATACTATTTAATATGCTTTAAATAGTAGGTCTGTTTAGCCCCCTACAGTTACCCATGTAATGCTCAAACATTAATCAGCAGTTCTTCTAGAACCCCTTGTCTAGACCCCGATAGTTAGTATAACCACGTACAACTTAATTAACACTCCAAGCATTAATCAGCGGTTTTCTAGAACCCCTTGTCTAGACCCCGATAGTTAGTATAACCACGTACAAC